GCCCCCGGGCCCGCAGCTCCGCGGGCAGGGCGGCCAGGAACTGCTCCAGCACCAGCAGCTCCACGATCTGCTCCTTGCTGTGCGTCTCGGGCCGCAGCCACAGCCGGCAGAGCTGCCGGAGCCGGCGCAGCGCCTCGCGCGGCCCCCCGGCCTCGGGGTAGCGGAAGCCGCGGAAGCGCAGGCGGCAGCGCTCGGGGCCCCGAGCGGGGCTGCGGCTCGAACCCGCCTCCTCGTCCTCCACCTTCACCGACAGGATCTCGGCCCGGTCCTCCGCAGACGCGGCGACCAGGGCTGCGCTCGGTCTCGACTGCCTCGCCATCCCGGGCCAGGGCGCTCCTCGCGCTCCGGGGCAGCCTGCGCCGTGGTATCGAGGGGTCACCGAGAACCAGGGAGACTGCAAGTGGCCCCTGCTTCTTCCCGCCCCCGTTTGGTGGCCGCCCCGCCCGGACCCCCAGCTCTGCGGCGCTCGTGCTGGGACGCCCCCTCCTCTGTAGGGCCTTCCCCAGCCGCTTTAGGCAGAAGGAACCGTCTCCTCCCGGGACATGTGTCTTCCTTGCAAACAGGCAAGATGCGCACGGAGCGCGCCGAGCGCGCCTGGGCCCCGCTGTCCTGCGTCGCGGGGAGGAGCCCGAAAACCAGCGCCCGTTGAGGATACAGGGGAAACTACCCCAGGTCTACACCTTCCGCAGGTTTCCTTCTGAATCGACCACCCACACTTCGGAGGGGGACCGGGAAGGGCTGGAACTTAGGAAACTGAGAGACCCCGGGAAATACTTCCTCCTACTGAGCACGAGGACCGATCCCGCACCAGCGCGCCAAGCTGCCTGCGGGCCTGACCCAGGAATCCCGTCTCCTAACGCCGAGGCACCGAACCCGACAGCCGGAACGGGCCCTCGACAAGGGGCAGCTGTCGTGGGTCGCCCGCGGGGCCTCCCCCGGAGTCGCCCTCCCCGCGGACCCGGCTTCTGCACACACGCCTGCAGCTACTCGGGGGCATGACGGCGGCGAGACGGCCCAAGGACAGCCACGAAAGGACACTCGGACCCGCTCGCGCACCGCCGAGCCCACACTCACCCCGGGTCCGAGGCTCGGAACCGCTGGGGGCGGGCTCAGGGGCCGCTTCCGGCCTCTCTGGCCGTCGCCCCGCCACACACTCTGTGGTTCACCAGCTCCCCGCCCGCCACCCAGCCTCCCCTCTGCCTCTGCAAGCAGCTTTTAAATATGACTTTTCCCGCCGTAATAAAGGGAGGAAAGCAAGGTGCAGGGCTCTGTCTATAGTCTGCTACATTTGCAGATAGGAGGTAGTAACAAGAATTTACATGATATTTTCTTGTGTAGTCAGAAAGAAACCCTGGAAAAATACACAAGGAAACTATTAAGGGAATACCTACGCGGGACGAGTGGTTAGAAACTGAGTGAAAAAGAGGACCAGGGTAAGAAAGTGTTTCTGCACACGGTTTAAATGTATTTTTTAAATTAGAGCTGATTGTATTGCCTAGTAAAAAACATCAGTTATAAATACATAACTGTTTTTAAAGACCTGGCTGAAATGTGTACATAGAAAATCCAAAATAATCTAATACTCAGATTATGGCCTCATGAAACAAACTGCTGTTGATTGGTTGACACTCAGAGCTGTTTACTGGAATGAGTCGTTGCTGATCTTCAAAAAAAGCTATGTGTTGTCACTAATCGATTGACTTGGAAAACCATGTTCCCTGAAGTGGATTAGGGTGTTATTCCAAAAATGCCCACGGGATGGCAGTAAACAATTAATTTTTATGATGACATACACTAGTTTGTAATTTTTAAAATGGCATGAGATGGCTGGCAGCAGCAGATAATTTTTCATGACATGAACTTTCCTGATTTCCCCAAGATACGCATGAAATGGCTACAGACAGTAACTTTTCACAACCCTTATTTTCAAAATGAGCACGAGCTAGCAGGTGAAGTTATTCTTTATGACATGTGCTGTGATCTTTGCAAAATGGCCACCACATGGCAGCATAATATAAATTTTTATGACATGTCCTGATAAATAACTGACATATTATTTTCAAAATGCCATGAGCAGAAAATAACTTCTCATAACATGCACTCCTTTGCTTTCCCAAGATGCACTGAAATGGCAGCAGGCTAGACTATAAGAAAATGCTCTCGAGCGTTATTTTCAAAATGCACACAGGATAGCCACAGAGAACATTTTGACACCGACTGTGGTTATTCCCAAAATGCCCACCAGATGGCAGCAGAATCATTTATTACATATACTCTGCTCCCATAACAAAGCACACAAGATGAGGGCAGAAGTTTTCATGACCTACACTTGAGTGTTGTTCTCCAAATACCCACAGGATGGCAGCAGAAAATAAATTTTTATCATGACAGACTCAAGTGTTATTTTTGAAATGCCCATGAAATGGCATGTAACCTCGTGAGCTGCACTCTTGTGTTTTCCCCAAGATGCACATGAAATGGCAGCAGAGAAAACCTTCATAACAACACATCCTTGAGTGCTGATTTAAGAATGCACAGGAGAGAGCTACAGAAAAAAACTTTTAATGACATGCACTCTGGTGTTATTCCCAAAATACCCACCAGATGGCAGCAAAGGATAAATATTATTACACTGGTGTTACTTGCAAGATGCACGTTAGCTGAGGTCAGGAAATAAATTGTCATGATGGCATAAACTTGGGTGTTATTCCCCAAATGCTCACCAGATGGCAGCGGAAAATAAATTTTTATGATATAATACACACGCATGTTATTTAAAAAAACAAAAAAAGAGCTGGCAGCAGAAATAACTTTTCATGACCTGCACTATGATGTTATTACCAAATTGCCCAGCAGATGGCAGCAGAAAATGACTATTTATGATGACAAACATTTGGGTGCTTTATCACATGCTTGGTGATGTGTGGTGGTTAGGACGTCCATGGTGCACTACTCAGGAAGGCCTCCCGGGGGGCATGGGCTCAGTGAGGAATGAGCACCAACGCTGGCATGTAAGACCTGTGTCACCGGGACAGAATTTTTTTCCCAACGTGGCTTCTCTGATGCTGAACAAGGTATGAAGTTCGGGCGAAGCCTTTTCCACACGCGTCACACTGATAGGGTTTCTCGCCTGTGTGGATTTTCTGATGTTCGATAAGGCTCCTGCTCCTAGTGAAACTCCTCTCACACTCATCACATGTGTAAGACACGAGGGCCTCAACACTCCCCTCGGACCTCTCCACCCTCCCCTGATTCTCCCAAGTCCCTCCACGTTCCGGATCCTGAACATCCTTATCACCGTGGACCCTCCGATGTCTCAGGAGATGCGAATTCCGCCTAAAGGCCTTGCCGCATGTGTTGCACTGATATGGCTTCTCCCCCGTGTGGATTCTGTGATGTTAGA